GAACACAAATTAAGATATTTTTGATGGAATCTGAGAGCTGTCTGACCCTGCATAGACAGCAACGCAACTGAAATGTTCCCAAGTCCAGAAACGTAGCAAGGAGATGGGTAAAATAATCCATGTGACATCAGTGGTTCATCCGCAATTACGTTCAGTAATTCACTGTTTACGTTCAGTGGATACTCTTCAAAATGGCACCAGGGTGATGCTGCGGAGATGAATTGTTGAATAAAGATGCTGTTCTGTGTCAGCTGCGTCACGCCGGATCGGTTTCCTACATTGTGATTTGATCTGAACAGAAACAGCGTATCCGTGTGACGCAGCTGACACAGAACAGCATACACTGTTTATGTTCAGTGGATACTCTCCAAAATGGCACCAGGGTGATGCTGCGGAGATGAATTGTTGAATAAAGTTTTTTTTTTTTTTACTTTCGTGCACAACAAGTATTCTTGTAGCTTCGTATAATTGCGGATGAACCACTGATGTCACATGGATTATTTTACCCATCTCCTTGCTACGTTTCTGGACTTGGGAACATTTCAGTTGTGTTGCTGTCTATGCAGGGTCAGACAGCTCTCAGATTCCATCAAAAATATCTTAATTTGTGTTCTGAAGATGAACAAAGGTCTTACGTGTTCGAAATTACATGAGGGTGAGTAATTAATGACAGAATTTTATTTTTGAGTGAACTAACCCTTTAATGTACATCCAGCCTGTTACTTGTATGTTTTAATCCATTACCATGTTCAAAACAGTTTTTCTGTAATCAAATTCTATAATAAGAGTCCAATCTACCATGACACATAAGAAAATATTTGACACGTATTTCCATACAAATCAAACCATACAAATAAAGTATTTCTTTATGATATAAGTCAGGGTTATTCAATTAAAGTTGCAAGAGGCACGGCCTCTATTTTCTTCCAAGCAAAGTTCCGGACAAAAAAAAATAAAAATGAAATGTATTTTTACATTTAGAGACATGCGAGGCCATCTGACAAAAAAAATACTGTTTCTGTTCAGGGTTTTCCTCCTGAAATCTATAAATTTTCATCGGTTCTAGTGTGTGCTCTGCAATGCTTTTTCTTTACTTGGCCTTGTATTTATGTACTAACCAGACCTTTTTTGTATGCTATGATTTAATGCATTTTGCAACATGATACAGTATATAAGTAAAACCTCTGCTACATGTTTTGAACTATATATCTTGTGGTTTTATAGTGATTGTTATGCAATATATGACCAGATAAGACCACTAGAAATGAATCTTCATCAGAACTATCATTTTGAAATTGAACTTTGTTTCTGAACAGCGAATCTGTGCTACCATATCTGTGCAATAAATATGAAAAATGTCAGACTTTCAGTTTTAGGAGCAAACTAATTTGAACTCAGTGAAAATATGAAATGTTACATATCTTTATGCAAAATAATTTACATATACAAATGGAATTATAAAGTGTGTTATATGTGAATAGTTAAATGTAAGCCTGAATTTAAAATCAAAATGGCACCGGTTACTTTTTTGTTGTACAAGATTCATCAGTGCCATGTTGTTCCAAAGAAAAAAAAATTGTCTTTGTGATTTTGAATCATAATGTGAAAACTTGCTCCTCCTTTTCCTTTTTTGGCTGATGTCACTTAGGCCTTACTTGTGACAACCAATAGCCAAACAGTTATTTAGGCATTGTTTTAGTTATCTCACCTTTGGTCTAGCTCTCTTCCTATGTGCAACACCTACTTTTCACAATCCAATTCCCGATAGATAAAATCAAATACCACCCCCTTTTTTTCTGGTCACTAGGAAATATGTTAGAAAAGGAAGTACGCTCACATTGATTTTATTATAAAAACATATGATGTCTAAGCCTGGGCATAGCATGGAAATGATTAAAATATTAATTAAATTTATTTCTAGTTCTACTCGGCTCTAAAATATTTCATGGGCTCTTTGTAAGCGCAGTCTCTATAAAATGGTTTAAAACATTCTGTGTGCAGTAATCATGAAAGTAATGTAAAATAATTTGTCAAAAGGTGTGTTTTAAAGATTCTGATGTTAGTCTCTTTATTTTTCAGGTTATGCAATGGTCTCTGCAACTTATCCAGTCCCCCAGGTGGTGCTTTCACTTTCAGAAGTGTGCCGGTTCTCCGTCGCTCCTAAGGAGAAACTGATTTCTTCTTGTGTGCCAGCGACATAAGCAGACAAGATTGCAAAGATCTGCCCCGTGTCGAGTATGACGGCCACGACCCGTGGCTCCCCTGTGGGAGGGAATGATGGTCAGGGCCAGGCTCCGGATGGCCAGTCCCAGCCACCCCTGCCCCAGAACCAGGTCAGTGCTCCATTTTGGGTTTACCATTCTGATCCCTGTGGAAACATAACTGCTTTTTTGCTGTTACCAGGGCTCGCAAAGGGCTATTGTTTTCCAGTCGGGCTATCAAAATGTATCACCGCCCTGGCCGATGGGCTATCTTGAACAGTGATATAAAATTCGCATTTGGAGCTGCACACACAGAGAGCCGCGTTTCAGACAATGCGCGTACACAGAATTGATTCCTCTTTCGCATATCCTTGCATCTGAATAAGCACATACACACAAAATTATCTCAAAATAACTGTCTCGGCACGTATTCTCGTAAACCCAGTCGGTTAAGTCTTAAGTGAACTTAAACAGTGGTGAAAGAAATCTCAAGTGCATCATTATATTGGATCCGTGCATTCGGTCTTAAAGGGGCAGCAGCCTATAAATACTTGCTGTTCCATAAGCGCCACCTGCTGTCAGAGAGTGACATTTATGTCTCATTCACAAAGCTAAAATCAGACCATTCTGTTTTTGCTTCAAATTTCGAAATTATACAATCTAATTGCAATCTAAATAACATGTATTTAGCATCTTTGTTTGGATTATGATTAAAATGCAGTGGTTGCCTCCAAGGTTAATATAGTTTTGAATTTTTAAATTAGTTTTATTTTAATATCGTTTTCAAATTTGCTGTAAAATTCAGTTTAGTTTTTATTAGTTTCATTCATATTTTTGTTAGTTTTAGTTTAGTTTTTTATTTTGTGAACAAGTTTTTATATAGTTTAGTTTCAGTTTTAATTAAAGTTTATCAGAATTAACAGATCACTTCCATGGCGCAGGCCAAAGAAAGACGTAGGCATAATTTAACCTTAGTGAGGCAAAGATATAGCGACACAAAATTAACGCATGATTGATTAGATAGTAAAAGTATACAAATATACGCCACAGAAAGCAGGCATGCCTTTTTTACTAAATTAATCTACACAAGTTGCGCTTAATGTCATATCCAATGATGCGTGTTGAGATATTTAGTATGAAAATAAATGTAGCCTGATTTGGTTATGTTTTTCCTTATTTAACCATAATCATGATATTGTAACTGGTGTCTTGCTCACTTTTCCGTTAACAGCCGTGCTGTCAAACTAATCACTAACCATCATCTGGGACTAATGAAATTCAATAATAACGGCAATCGCATTTAACAGTAAAGGCTTATATTCGAATGTTCTTTTCATTTATAAAGAATTATAAGCGTGTGTATGATGTGATTTAGCCAATGCACATTTGTTCAAAAGCCTGGCAGAGTGATCACAAGATGTTTTGTAAAAATGTTTTGTCAAGATGCAAAAGTTTTGTATTGTTTTCAGAAAGGATGCACGTTCTCATATTTTTTTCTGTTAATTATCATGTTGCGCTGCATGTCTGTTTTTCTTAAAAGCACCAACTTGGAATGCCTGATGATGGTTTGATTGCTTGTGTTACATGATAAAATAAATAATCTTGCTTACCTGATGTAATAGATTTAATGCGAGTGCGGTTCGGGTCGCGATGCGCGGTCTTTGTCAAACGGTTTTGGTCTGGTACAGAATTAAATTAGTGCTGCAGTCCCGTGCAGGACCCGTGCAGGCTTTAAACTGCACCAAGGGGTGAGAACGTAATGATTACGAAAACGATTATTTATTTTTGATAATTATTTTATTTCAGTTAGTTTTTCAATAACTGTTGTTAATTTCGTTTCGTTTTAGTTTTTCAAATATTTTGACGTTTTTATTTTATTTCAGTTTACGAAATAGTTTTTTCATCAATCGTTTTAGTCTTAGTTTTAGTTTTCGTTTATGAAAATAACCTTGGTTGCCTCTGATTTTAAATGGAAAAAGCACAGCCAAAGCCTTAGTTTGTTTATATGAAGAGATTTATATTATTTAATTATTTGATTTGGGATTTGTTAAAAAATGTCAAGTTATAGAAAATTTGTTATTTGACATATTTCAATTTCACAAAGAAATGTTCAGCATTTTGTTAGCATCTTTGTTTGGATCATGACTAAAATGCAGTGGTTGCCTCTGATTTTAAATGGAAAAAGCACAGCCAAAGCCTTAGTTTGTTTATATGAAGAGATTTATTTTATGTGTATTATTTATTTATTTGATTTGGGATTTGTTTAAAAATTTGTTAGTTTTATTATTTGACATATTTCAATTTCACAAAGAAATGTTCAGCATTTTGTTGGAGAAATAATAAAAACACCTTTTCATTTATAATTTGTCTTTGAAAATTGTATTGTATTGTGCTCTGCCCAGGAAGGAACAGATGTCAACAGAGGGAAATGTTATTAGGTAACTGTAGGACGAACCAAAAAAAAAAAAATCACCTCTCCTGTATCATGTCACAAAATATATATATTTTGAAATATTTTTTTATGGTTGCACTCATGGCATTTGGTTAAGAGATAAACATTTTCCTTGTTTTTTTTTTTCAGTGTTGTCTGACAGTTGTTCACAGCATTCTGCTGCATCGTATTGCTCTCTCTGGCCTCATATTGTATTATCATTAATTTCAGGTTTACCTGCCACTAAATGTCATGTAAAGCGACCAGCCACACATTGTGTTTGCTTTTGCATTACTCTTAGATCGTTCTTCCTTTCTAATTGGACAGTACAGGAAATGCTGTAAAGTTGACCATACATTATGCAGATAGTCAAAAGTCTAGCTCAGTGAGACATTAAAGGGATAGTTCACCCAATAAATGGAGATATTTTAATATACTCCATTTTTGTATATCATTTTTCATCAACAACTGTGGAAAATATAGTCTCGAGAACAAGGTATAGACATGTTCTAAAAGAAAGGTAACTTTAAATGACTTCTGTTGTGATCTGGCGCTATAGAGAAAGTATAATTAAATAAAATTAACTTGACCTTAAATAATGGCAGGGGAAACACTGTAGTGTACGAGTTTGTTCAGTAAAACAATGTTATTTCAGTTTTTAAAATAATGGTTTTCTCATATGGCGCTCAAGAAACATTTCTTGTTGTCAATCTTAAAAACAGTTGTGCTGCTTAATATTTTTGTGGAAACATGAGACTTTTTTCGGCATTCAAAGTAAAAAACAAAACAAAAAAACGCATTTATTTGACAGATTTTTTTTTTAATTCTTAAATACAATGCTTTACTGAAATTAAATGTGGTGAATATCTTTTCATGTCATCATTTACAGCCTGTGTGGCAGACTTTGTTTTATGAGGCCACTTAATATTGTTCTCCATGTTTATAGTAATGACCCTGAATGTTATCTTCATATCACATACTTTCTAAACCTGTGAACTGTTTGCATTGCAGACATCCTCTCCCAACTCATCCAACGAGAACTCCCCAGTGAGCCCACCAGATGACCAGGGTCAGGGGGACAGTCCCACTCCCCTGGAGGAGGAGGAGCCAGCTTTCCCCCACACTGAACTGGCCAAGCTGGATGACATGATCAACAGGTTAGGGCTCGTATCCTATATTTGGTTGAATTATGTTTATAATGAAATCAGAAGCATTGCAGATGAACTACAAGGATATTGATATGAAAGACATTTATTTAGGCTGTTATTCGCTAATATAATATCACTAATCGCTAATAATGAGATCAGCGATGTATTATGTTGATCATGTTTTTTTCTTTTGATGTACAGACCTCGCTGGGTCGTTCCAGTTTTACCAAAGGGTGAATTAGAAGTTCTTCTTGAAGCTGCTATAGATCTTTGTAAAAAAGGTAATGCTTTATTTTTAGGTCTTGTTCATCATTTAATATTCCTGCTGTTTTCATCAATTGTTCTGCTGAGTAGTGGCAGAAGCACTCTTACCTTTATCTGCGTCATATTAAGCTTTCACTTTTGCTCTTGAAGGAATTCTTCAGCCTGTGTAAATGTCAGGTTCTGATAGGTTGTTCTTTCATTTCTGTCACCAGGACTTGATGTCAAGTGTGAAGCATGCCAGAGGTTTTTCAGAGATGGCTTGACAATATCCTTTACGAAAATACTGACAGATGAGGCTGTTAGTGGATGGAAATTTGAGATCCATGTAAGTCCTGCAACCTGCTTGATGGTGCCATTTTCATAATTTCTTCCATTTCAGCAGCACATTTTGTCTTTTTGTTTGCACATTAAAGGGTTTTACTAACCGTTTGGCTGTCAGGTCTGTCCTCTCAAGTATTGATTACTACTTTGGGCGACTGTGAAGAAACGATGTTTATTTTGGTTGCGTTCATCTAATTTGGCTGTTTGATTTGAAATGCCAAAGCTTTGATCAAAGAGCTCCTTTCAGTAAAACAGAGTCAGTATTAGGACACAGCATTGAGTCATCGCTCTCGTATGAGGCTTGTTTTAGCTCTTCCAAGGCTGCTCTAGGATCAGCTTCAATGGCACTGCAAATATAGATGATTTGTTTGGCATTTTATGACTTCCTTCTCAACGTAAATCAAAGTGCGTCAACTATGGTTGCATTTCAGTCTATTTTAAAGTCACAACATACTCGATACTTTTTTAGGATGGTATGTGTTTGGCCTAACATGTCGATCTGTGTCTCATTCTCTCTGCAGCGGTGCATCATTAATAACGCCCACCGACTGGTGGAGCTGTGTGTGAGCAAGCTTTCTCAGGACTGGTTCCCTCTGCTAGAACTCTTGGCGATGGCCACCAACCCCCACTGTAAGTTCCACATCTACAATGGTACTCGACCCTCTGAGACGGTGCCTGCTGGGGTTCAGCTAGCTGAGGATGAGCTTTTTGCCCGTCCACCTGACCCTCGCTCTCCTAAGGTGAGTGGGTGTTTGTGCCAGACTTTAATGATGTCTTTAATTTATGAATTATTGAACTTTATTAATAAAATTAGTGTTTTGGTATGGTTAAGCGTAAAAAGAAAATTATGACTAGTCACGCATCACCTAAAATATACACTACTACTTTTTTTTTTTTCTTCTTCTTATGCATTCATATACATTTTAACCTGTATGTTATGTTTATGAAGTTAAATGCATCAATTACCTGTTTATGAAGCTGCCTTCAGCTTTAATTTCAGTGTTTTATTTAGTTTTGCTGTATTGGTCTATTCAAAGAAAACTTCCTGTTTATTTGTTTCCTGCAGGGCTGGTTGGTGGATTTAATAAACAAATTTGGCACGTTAAACGGGTTTCAAATTCTGCATGATCGATCCATGAGTGGCCAAGCTCTGAATGTTCAGATCATTGCTGCACTCATTAAGTAAGAAGTGAAGCATATTTAACTTATTTGCCTGGAACCTGGAATTTATTTTAATAAGGTTTGGTTTACTTGTTCGTTTCGCAGGCCTTTTGGACAGTGCTATGAGTTTCTCACTTTGCACACAGTGAAGAAGTACTTCCTTCCCATCATAGAAATGGTTCCCCAGTTTCTAGAAAACCTCACAGATGAGGAATTGAAAAAGGAAGCAAAGAACGAAGCCAAAAACGATGCCCTGTCTATGATAATCAAATCTTTGAAGAACCTGGCTTCTCGAGTACCAGGACAAGAGGAAACAGTGAAGAATTTAGAGATATTTCGGTTAAAAATGATTCTTAGGTGAGCTGAACATCAGCTAAAACTAGACATTATGCAGCACGTGAAATGATTTTTCTTGATCATTGACCTTTTTTGTTACAGGTTATTGCAGATTTCTTCTTTTAATGGCAAAATGAATGCACTAAATGAAGTGAACAAGGTGATTTCAAGTGTTTCCTACTACACACATCGTCATGGCAATCCTGAAGAGGAAGAGTGGCTGACAGCAGAACGCATGGCAGTAAGTCATGCTGCAGTACTTAACCGAATAGCTTGTAACATTCTCCAGTTATTATCATTGAATATACTAAGCTAACAAAACTTGGTGTGTTATTTAGGTATGTGAAGGCCTTAGAGGTAATCGAAATAAAGTTTTTGATTCAAATCTGTATCTTCACATTAGCTGAACATGCATTTGTTTCCCACAGGAATGGATTCAGCAGAACAATATTTTGTCTATTGTGCTGCGAGACAGCCTTCATCAGCCACAATATGTGGAGAAACTGGAGAAGATCCTGCGATTTGTCATCAAAGAAAAGGCCCTAACGCTTCAGGACCTGGACAACATCTGGGCCGCTCAAGTGAGACATTCTCAAGTTTCAAGTTTCTTTGTGATTAATGTATATTGTATAATTTGTTGTGTTTGTTTGTCATTCTTACATTCTTTCTTCTTAGATATTCATGCAAAGCCATACAATACCTACAATTTTACCAATCAAACACTTTTAACCAATCAACATAATCACATGGCTATAATGTTAAATTAAGTAAATTTGTTAGCATGTTACCTTTGGCAGCCCTTCTAGAATTTATGCTTTATTAGTAAACTTTGCGGCATCTTGTCATTCAAACAGGTTTTGTAATTGTAATAATGGTATCTATATCCTCAGGCAGGGAAACATGAGGCTATTGTCAAGAACGTTCATGATCTTCTTGCAAAGCTGGCATGGGATTTCTCACCTGAACAGCTGGACCATCTCTTTGACTGCTTCAAGGTTATTCATAATGAACTGGCGATTTCAATTTTATGCATAAAAAAAGATTGTCTTAATGTAGAGACCATGTATTATAGGCATTTTTATGTATGCCTTACTAGCATTCCAACCGATTACAGAATCTCTGTCCTCAAAGGAATCATTTTATGGTTTATAGGAGAGCTGGACTAATGCAAGTAAAAAGCAGAGAGAGAAGTTACTGGAATTGATTCGTCGACTGGCAGAGGATGACAAGGATGGTGTGATGGCTCACAAAGTACTCAATCTACTGTGGAATTTGGCCCATAGTGATGATGTTCCTGTGGATATCATGGACCAGGCCCTTAGTGCTCATATTAAGATTTTGGACTATAGCTGTTCCCAGGTATCCTGATCTTTCAAAATTAAAACTGAAAAACGGACTGAATTTCTTTCTTCCATGCTAAACAAAAGTCATTTTATACGATGTTTTGGTCACATGAGAGTGAGTAAACAGTTGAGGACATTGAATTAAAAACACTGTTTTTGTACTGTTGTAGGACAGGGACACACAGAAGATGCAGTGGATAGACCGATTCATTGAAGAATTAAGAACTAATGACAAATGGGTGATTCCTGCACTGAAGCAAATACGGGAGATCTGTAGCCTCTTTGGAGAAGCCCCCCAGAATTTAAGGTAATGCAGCTCAACTTTAGCCATCAATTACATTGATACTTGTTTTAGTACACAAAAATAAATGAAACAATGACATTTTTGCTCATATTTAAGGAATATTTACGTGAAAACTTACCCACACATTGTAGGAAGAGCATGTAAATGTAGCAAATGTATCGTACGCATCCCTGTTGTTTTTCAGAAAGAAAATACCTATTAACTTACTAAAGAGCTTAGAGGGGTAAGTGGACAGCAATTTTGGGAAATATTATCATCATCATTATTATAACTTATTTTCAAAGCTAAAGTTTGCTTTTGGATTTCAGTAAATCTGTAATTTATGAAAATCTGCTTGGTGTCTCCTGCACCATCTAATCAAATCACCAATCAGTGCCAGTGGACGAGGTTCATGCGTATAAAGCTTCTCAGAGGAAGAGTGCTGCTGTTGGTTACATTTCATAAACCTACAAATGCATACTCTTGGCATGTGGTATAAGGTCTGGGTTTAGTGCGCTCTTCCTTTGGGATGCTTTAAATGTGTGAGTCCGTTGGAGAAAATAAAATTGCAGAAGCCTGAACTCACATTTTCCAATACTTTCCAACACCTTATGCAATGAGTTTAATATGATGAAAAATTATTTTTCTGCATTTGCTGTGATGGTCTCGGGATATTGCTTCTTTAATGTAAATTTAAGCTTTCGATTAGCTATATACCTAAAAAGCCCATTGTCATACAATTTAGTTGAAGAACTTGCAATATAATGAAGATATTACAATGGGAAGGATAATTCAGTCATGTGTTTTTCTTTCTTACTTTAGTCAAACGCAGCGGAGCCCACATGTCTTCTATCGACATGACCTAATCAACCAACTGCAGCACAACCATGCACTGGTCACTCTTGTAGCAGAGAACCTGTCTGCATACATGGAGAATATGAGGCAGTTCTCGAAAGGTTTGTGAGGCTAACATTATTTGTATATATTGACATACCTATTTTATTCATTAGAGGGGTTATGAAATGGAGAATCAAAATGTGTTTGATATTTACACATATAAGAGGTTACTCTACAAAAAAGTCATACTGTAAGAATCAGAGCTCAAAATACAAAGTATTATTCTTTTCTACCCATTTGAAACGTGTGGCTATGAAATAGAGAGAATTGTGAGATCGTGATTCTCCTTGACACGCCCCTTAATATACATCATATACCAGCAAATACAGCTTTATCACAGTGCTTGCCCAGAGCTCCAGATTGCACCTAAAATGGTTGCTTTTGCAACCAAAAATATAAATTTGCGAGTGATATTTTTTTCCTACTTTTTTGAAGCAGGATACTTTTTTCCTGCTTGTTTTGAGATCACATCTTTTATGTTGACGTAATAAACTGAGACGATGCATAGAAAAGTTTTAATGGAAAAAAAACAACAGCGCTGACTAGGGCTGGGCGGTATATCGAGTTTGTATGATATATCAATATTTTCTTTATAAGCGATTCGATATGAGGCAATACATTTATATCGAGATACGAGCGCATCTGAAAATATAGTGAAGGACACAGACTGAGCTGCTGCGGAGAAAGTGCATAATCCAGTTTGTTCTAAACATGTGACGAGCTTTATATTAAGGCCTTTAAAAAAACTGGTAAGACAGTTTAAGCGGCTCGGCCCTTCATATGCTCTGACAGAAAGGCTGACAGAGACACTAGGCTACTTGCACTGTTTAATGTGTTTGAGATGTGCTTTCTTCCTGAATGCATATCTTTCATTTCACAGGTATATTCTCCATCTGTAAATGTTTTGATTGGGATTCTCCGTTAAACTTCACAGACTTCAGTGAACGAGTGCCGCCGCGAGCATGCGCGCCAAACAGACAGAGCTCAATTAAATAGGAGCACGATAATTCTGACTAAAATATACATTTCATACTAAATATTTGTAGTCAGACAATAAATGTGACGTGTAGAATTTTAAACCTACAAGTAAGTCTATTTCTATGATAGCACTGACTGTAAAGTGACTAATGGAATAATCAAAATAGCCTAACACAACTCTGTGCTTTTTTCTCATTTATTTAAATTTTTAGTTTAGTGAATTTAACTTCCGCTTTAAAAGCGTTGCAATGAAATATGATTTTTAACCCTTTCTTTGCACATAATATAAAGGCTTACATAATTACATTCACTTTATTTGTTTTCATAGCCTTTAATATGTATTGTTTTGTTCGACAACATTGGGCAGTAAGTGCAATATATATATTAAATACTGATTACATATTACTGATAATACTGTATATTGTATAATACTGATAATACTGTAATACTGATAATACATAATACTGATCCAATTACAAAAACGAAAATACCGAACTGTATACCATATATCGCAAATCGGCCAAAAAATACAGAGACATGAATTTTTGCCCATATCGCCCAGCCCTAGCACTGACAGCACACCTGCTAAAGCAGCTCCAGTTGTGGGAGCATGAGAAAGAATGAAAATGACGGAGACGTGCGAAGTAAAAGTGCAGAAAAGCAGTGTCTATTTCGTGCACAACTTGAACAAACTACGACAGGTGAAGCTGTCAGCTGTGTGGACATTAGCAATATTGTTAACAATTTTAGTTTATAATCAATACTAATATGGCTTCTTGTTATCAAGATCTTTAGTCTATATGCTGTGTTCTGTTAATGTGTGAACTTCATATTATTTGTAGCGCATTTGCCATCCAATAATCGCAATAATCTTTGTGCTCTGTTACCTTTTACTAAACAAAATATCAGCTTTAAAATTCTGCCAAGTTCATAACGAAATGCAAACAATAATTACGTTTTGGCACTCTTTAATGTGGCATGAGCGATCGCTTTAGCGCTTCAGTTCCCACTTTAAGTGAACCTTAGTTCCCAAGACATGTACAAGATGGATTAAAATGCTGATGCTGTAAAGGGAGACATAAACCCATGACCATATGACTGAAATGTAAAAGTAATATCAGCTTTAAAATTCTGCCAAGTTCATAACGAAATGCAAACAATAATTACGTTTTGGCACTCTTTAATGTGGCATGAGCAGTTCCCACTTTAAGTGAACCTTAGTTCCCAAGACATGTACAAGATGGATTAAAATGCTGATGCTGTAAAGGGAGACATAAACCCATGACCATATGACTGAAATGTAAAAGTAAAAAAAAAAATGAAAGAAATAAAACATGTTTATTCTGTGGCAATTAAAAAATTATTTGGCACTAAAGAGCCAATGGTTCCTGTATATATGTATGTATTTGTAATTTTTTTTTTGTCTGGAACCCTGTTACTATCTCGAGTATCAAAACACACAACATGCTGTAAAGGAGGGCGCGGATAGGGTTCGATTTAAGTTAGCAAATCACTGCAGTGGGTGTTTACTTCCATTTCTACAAGAGGTAACATCCCTTTCACTTCTGTTTTTCGTCAGAGAGTGAAAATGAGGGTGGAAAATTGTAGTTTTTAATAAATATTGGGCTTTTTTTTTTGGTACAAAAAAAACATCAATATCTGAACCTGCATGTCATGACCTCTTTAACATTTATTTTTAGTTTTATGCCCACAGTGTTAAACATTTGCCAGTGCTAACTTTTTATGTTTTATCAGAGCACACAGACTTTGATCCCCAGACGGTTAGGCCAGGAAGTCGGTATAGTCATGTTCAGGAGGTCCAGGAGCGGCTCAATTTCTTGAGGTATTTATACTTTATAAACAACCTTCCTATACACTGCTTAGATTGCAGAATCCAAATTCAATTCCATTATTTACTTTCTTCAATTTATTTGGCTCTAAACATTACTCATTTTTGTCATCAACATGGGTATTACAGTGTACTAGAATAAGCTGTTTATCACTGTAGCTAGGTGATGAAGGTGCCACAAATGGAAAGTGTTTTTCACTTCACTTTTTTTACTCTGGTTTCTATCCTTTTGATTGTAATAGCAAAACTAAACAGACACCGAATGTTCTAGACTATTGTAATATGAAAGGCTATTTATTTGTCATCAATGGTAAATTTCTTGTACACCAAGGAACAGACAATTTCTTGGTGTGCACCTAATTTCAGAAAACAGCTTTCACACCAATCAAGCTCTGTCATCAAATGGATTTGGTCTGCACCACAAGGTCTATTATTAAAACTGCTAGTTCTTAGACTCTCTAAAGACCCCCTAAATAACTAATTATTAAATATCCTCATCCTTCAGGTTCTTACTGAAAGATGGGCAACTCTGGCTGTGTGCACCTCAGGCTAAGCAGATCTGGAAGTGCCTGGCTGAGAACGCAGTGTTCTTGTGTGATCGGGAGGCCTGCTTCAAATGGTACTCCAAACTCATGGGGGATGAACCCGACCTTGACCCTGACATCAACAAGGACTTTTTTGAGAACAACGTACTGCAGCTTGACCCCTCGCTGCTGACAGAGAACGGGATGAAATGCTTTGAACGATTCTTCAAGGCAGTCAACTGCAGGGAGGGCAAACTGGTGGCAAAACGCCGGGCATACATGATGGATGACTTGGAGCTGATAGGGCTGGATTACCTGTGGAGGGTAAGAGTCAATTATAGCTGTTGGACCTTCATTGATATGTTTAGAGCTGCTTGTTCTGGTATATTACCCGTCTCAAATGCCTTCATTTTTTTTAGCCTGTTGGTTATTTTGTAATAAGTCAATGTATTTTAACAAAATGTCAAGTAGAAAATTTGGAAATATGCCCTTGGATGGAACTTTTGGGTGACCTCATCACAGTTATATATATGTTGTTGTAATATCACCAGGTGATTTTCAGTGTCACCATAAGTATTTTAAAGCTAATTGTCAGCCTGAGCTCAAACCATCTATTTTCCTTATTTTTTTCTTTGACAGGTTGTGATTCAAGGAAGTGATGATATTGCTAGCCGAGCAATTGACTTGCTTAAAGAGATTTATACAAACCTCGGACCAAAATTACAAGCCAATCAGGTAATAATACAGTGGATAAGCATATCACTTGCTGTAATAAATTTTGGGCTGCTCTTGAGTTAGTTTTTAACATGTCAATGACTTTGCAGGTAGTGATCCATGAGGATTTTATTCAGTCTTGCTTTGACCGGCTCAAAGCCTCCTATGACACTCTGTGTGTGCTGGATGGAGATAAAGACAGCATTAACTGTGCCAGACAGGAGGCCATCCGCATGGTGAGAGTACTGACGGTGCTCAGGGAGTATATAACCGAGTGTGACAGTGACTACCACGAGGAGAGGACTATCCTGCCCATGTCCAGGTAAACCCATTCAAACCTGTCTTTAATTAACTCAATAAACTTGTATTTTTTGCTTGTCTATGGTGGCCAGATTCTAATAAACTCTATTTAAATGTTTTTTTTTTTCATTTTAAGGGCTTTCCGAGGAAAGCATATCACACTAGTTGTGCGTTTCCCAAACCAAGGCCGACAGGTTGATGATCTGGATATTTGGTCACATACCAATGACACAATTGGCTCTGTGCGACGCTGCATTCTGAATCGAATAAAGGCCAACAGCACACACACCAAGATTGAGCTGTTCATCGGGGGAGAGATCATTGACCCAGCAGATGACAGGAAGCTAATCGGGCAGCTAAACCTCAAAGATAAAACTGTAGGCATCTAGGGGATTTCGCCCATGCAACTTTTGCCTTACTTTTAACAGCACTTTTTGTAGAGGTCGTATGAACAGGATATGTTATAGTTTACAAGAGTGCTTTTTTTTTTATTCTCTAGCTCATCACAGCCAAGCTCACCCAGGTTAGCGCCAATATGCCTTCCAGTCCAGACAGCTCCTCAGACTCCTCCACTGGTTCCCCTGGGAACCATGGCAATCACTTCAGTGATGGGCCAAACCCTGAAGTGGAGAGCTGTCTTCCCGGCGTGGTGAGCACTTTGCCATTCAGGCACACAATTGATCCAAACTGTCTATTTATTTACACATTGAATATATTGAAAGGGGAGTGCATCTATGGTCACTAAAAATCAAGATCTGAGAAATGTCTTTAGAAGCTGTGTTGATAAATTGTGTATATCCACCCGTGGTGCTTTGCTGAGAGATCTGTAGATTTTCCAGTCGCTTAAAGCCCACGACACACAAAGCCAACAGTTGGCCATCAGGCAATGTTGGGTGGTTTTTGAGCATCTAGTCCAGTGGTTCTCGGCTCGCGGGCCGCATGCGGCCTGTCACGAATTCAAATGCAGCCCACCATGCTGAACACAATTTAAAAAAAAAATACTTTCAGTTTTACAATTCATTTTAGTTTTTACATTAATTAAAAAAATTTACTAAATAAATATAAGCTATAGCCTAATGTTTTTATGTAAAATAATTTTGTTTTTCATATATTATTTTCAGACATGAGCAGTACTCACATAGCCTAATTAACGTTACGCATTTAAAGTAACGACCAAGCGGCAGACAGTGAGCATATGTTTGATCAATTTAGCCTTCTCAAATCATCATGACTTGACTAAAATAAAATCTATAGCTATAAAACTGTTCAAGCATATAACAATGTTTAAACGTTAAACCTAGATAAATGTGTGCTGTATCCAATAGTTTGCGCAGAGAGTGGAAGCTGAAGCGCGCTTTGCGGGACATAGAGACGCCAGCGCGATCACTTGCGTTTTTTTTCAGTGGATACACCGTCATTTTTGCTCATAAAGGTAAGAGTAATACATCATTCGTAACTGTAAAGGGTCTACTTTTATTTGTGTGCACTCACAATATCAACAAAACGTTGTGCTTTTATAAAATAAAGAAATCAAACATAATGCGCTTTCTGCCGTCTCGTCTTTAACAGGCACGGAAACTCAGCGAATACATGCCTCACAGACATGATAAATATATCTATAGAAAGCTTTAAATTACTACTTAACGAAATAAAACAAATCAAAAACCAAAACTCTTTCATTATAATCATAATCCGTAAAGATGCACTTCTCTCTAAAGGTGCGTCTAATGAAGAGATGGCGAGTTAGGATCGACAACTTCATCTTTGCGACACCGACTCCGAAAACACTAGTTTATTAGTAAATAATTAAAATATCTCCTTACTGTTTCCCCCTGACGCATTTATGGTAATTACTTTTGCCGATGCTTTGGGGCAAACTTAAGCCTATTTGAACGCAGAACTGTTCAGCTGCGCTGACGGCACACACCGTACATGCTGCTGCTGCTGTTGCTGGACACTAAACACTGTCGAGCCGCTCTTGACAGTCTCGGTAGCTCGGTCTCGTGTTGTTTCCACCATTGCGGCAATTTTTTCATCACTAATTGATGGATGTCTAAAATAAAAAAAAGGAGAAGCCTAAAACAGGCCCGAGGCCCTGCCCGTGTCTGAACTATGATGTGAAAATTGTCCCGAAGCCCAGCCCGAGGGGCGTAAAAAAAGTCGGGGTCCGTCGAGCCTAGGCTGAAATGCAGGGCTCTAGCTCTGATCTAGCACACAGAAAACGATTTGACTGAAAATTTATCAGAAGAGATGAAAGAAAGATAGTGGTCATCTGCGCAATTCGGAAAAAGAGGCGGCTTTTCTGCATTAGGTGTGTTTTTTTTCTTTCTTTTTTTTTTTTTAACTCTCTGTACAGCAGTTATTGTTCATTCTAAATAAATTTTTAAATGTAGAATATGTTACATAACTAAACTACATGAAATTTAGAACATAAAAAAGTGCTCGTGGCTCGTCTGCCAGTGGGTGCCCCCCCACGCATAAAAGTGAAACTCCGCCTATGATTGTGCTGTTACTCCTTTCGAGC